TGTTCTCCTGGTCTTTTGAAGTTTGACTTGAAGAGGTTTCACCGCGTATGAAATTCATTTTTGAATAACTCCACACAAAAAAATTGGAGGAAGGGCAGGAATTACACACAAATAAACTAGCCTTTCGACATATGAAAGAAAAGCGTGGATCTAGCAGATACAGTATATGCATGCTAAAGCACAATAATAATTCATCACTGCAGCACACATTAAATAAAAACGTGTCGATTTTATGCATAAACCCGACAATGAAACGCACCCAGGAGCGATACCTTCATTTTTTTTTCGTTCACCAGCACCTTCAACTCAATTTCTTCTTTCCTCTCACTATACACAAAATACTCATGTCATATAGACTGTTTGGTGTGTCGTCGTCTTAATCTTTTATTATCCCTCAAAATTTTTAAGGCAGCTGTGAACACCACCACGACGACCAGGAAACGTTGGGCCACAGGCAGTATAAACGACTCACTCGGTCCCAGCAAGTCCCATCCTTTTTTTAAATATATAAAAGGTTGCTGACTGTGCAAATAATGCGGAAATATACTGTCGTACGTGGAGCTTTCGGGTATTTACATCCTCATTATTGTCTATAGGCTTATTGACGTTGGGAAGCCGACCTTAGCTGAACGTATAATACTTTTTTTTGTGAAATTTTTTAGGTGATTCTTTTCTCATCAATTGATGATCTATGCAGCAGCAGCAGCAGCAAGAGAAAGGTAATTTATGGAAACAAGCAATGGGTTGCCTTATTTGTTCTGCATCACTGAACATCAGTAAGAACTTTCATATTTGTTTGTGTAGGTAAAGTTTTCACCTTAACGACGGTCGTTCAAAGTCATCCGTAAATTTTTTTTAATGCTACTCTAAGACTGTATTTGTCTACTGTAATTTTGTCTTTTAATAGGTTGGTTGTACACCTGTTATAGATAAGATACATGCACCTTCCCACCATTTCCAGAAATTGTGAAAAATTATATTGCACCTTCAAATTGCTACTGGGGTGAAATGTTGCTAAGGTAAGAAAATGTCTGCACTGCTCATTCATAAGCTTTAAAGAGACTCATCCATTTCACACTTCAAAACACTGCAAGATAATTTTCATCTGATTGAAAGTTGAGCTTGATTTGGAAATACAACAGGATTTCAGACAGGTGAAATAAGAGCATAAACCAAACAAAACAAAAGGACTTATTTGTAATTTCGGAGAAACATGAGAACCAATTAAATATATTAGCAATGAAGTCTGAGTGAAAATTAGACTTGACTCAAGAACATTCTGACAACAGGAAATTCTTGATGCACCAATTAGGTGTGGTGTGCATCTTTGGGTCTCACTGTATATCTTGAAGTTGGCTGAATATGAGTCATAGATATGTACTGACAGCCATATATTGACTCATGGAATGAATTTTGTCAAAATTTCAGGCTGAAAATTTGAGGTGTTCAGTTTATTTCTGAGCATGTGTGTGGTCCTCAAGTAATTATGCAAATTTCACCCATGATTACCTCCTATATCCTGTGCATGATAATTTCATAACTCTGCAGTGAATCAGAAAAAATATAAACTTTTCAAATTCAAGATCATACCACAATGGTGTAAATTGTAAAGAATAACATTGCTTATCAGTCTTAATATAAGATCTTCATCTGTCAAAAAGTGCTACATATTTTCCTCCACAACATGTGAGTCATGTTTTCTGACCCCCCAGTTACAGTACTGTGAAGTGCCCAAATAAAATTGCTATTTGAAATGCATTATGGGAAAAACTAAAGGTTTTGGCCTCACTGGACTGCTGGTGAGCAGCTGCCCCGAGTCTCCAAAATGGACCATGATGCTGAAGGTAAGACAACTCCTCCTTATGTAAGCTACAAAGTACAGGGTGAAGGGCCAGCTTATGTTCTTATCTACCAGCATATACACACCAGTTGAAGATAAGAATCCTCCCAGAAGTTCTTTTTGATCATCTAGTCTTTTCTCCTTCAAAGAAGGCAGATAAGGAGCCTTTGCGACAAAATGACAGGAACAATAATCTGAAATGGAGATGCATGAATCTTTCTGGCTCAATTCCGTCATGGCATGGAATCCCGTGACTTTACTTAAAATATCTCCATCACCTGACTGCTAACTATAGTGAAAATCAAGCACCTTGAAAATTTCCTGAAGTGTTGTTGTTTGTGACTTAAAGGGGGTTCTTTTTTACACACCAAATAAAAAATACTGTAGAAAAATATGAGTGAGAAGGACAGACTGGTGCCACAGTCTGGACAAGACCAGCAGGAAACCAAGTTCATCATCAGGGGTTTGGAAGCTGGTTCGAATTATGGGTCCTTGCCAAATCCCAATAATGCAGGTCGAACCAGAAACTTGCCAAAGTAAGTCTCTGAATTAAAGAGGCGTACCAAACGGTAAAAACAAAATTAATTAAATTTTAAGTTAAAAAAATAAGTTTTACTTTTACGAAATGCCCATTGACATCTTTATGTCATGAAGATAGTAAATGAAAACCTAAACCAAGTTCTTCCTCTTCCAAGAATTTTGAGATTATCTTAAAATCACATGCAAGCAATCATGCATTGTTTCTAAATGATTCTATTCTTACTGAAAAAAAACTGAGTGATATTCAGTGAATACAAGGGTTTATGCTAAATTCCTAATTTTTTTTTTACAAAAACGGCAGGCTTATATGCAGAAGCACAATAATTGCTATTCTCTGACTCTTTGTGGCTGTTGCCTGGTTCTGAGGCATTTAGCAAAAATAGCCTGAATTGTGAACATCTTCCATCACTATCTTATTTTTCTGCTCTTTAAGGTTTCGCTTCATCCCAAAGCAAGGCTATGTTGTCATGATCATAGTCACACTTGGAATGGCTGCCATTGTGCTGGGACTTGCTCTTGGTTTGCCAAAGTATGAACCCCAGCAAAAAGATGGCACCACAACTGCTGCTGATGCTCCCACCTTGCCATATATGTCAACAACCACCACCAGACCCAGGACTAGCACAAAAAGAGTGCCCCCAATGTCCAGCAGCACAATTTCTAGCTCCACCACCACAATCACAACCATCACCACTACAACCACAATGAGTGCAGTGCCAGTAACAACCACCAGGATGATGCAAACAACTACAACAACTACTCCAAGACCAACAAGTACCACCACTCCTGGAGAAACACCACCACCACCACCACCACCACCAACACCATCATCAACATCCTCCCAAACCAATATTACAACAGCTTTGAATTCTTCCATACTTTCTTCTTCACCTGCTGCAACAACAACAACAACAACAACAACTGCACCAGCACCTGTCATACTCAATGCAGTTGCTCGACCCAAAATGGCACAAAGGCCATCATCAGGTGCTGTGTTGCGTCAAAGTCGTGCCAATGTTTTTGCAAACGACCCAGTGGACGTGTCTTCAGCTTGGCTCTTGAAAAGGACCAGCAGCAGCAGCAGCAGCAACAGCGGACGATTTAAAAGAGCTGTGGCTGCTTCTGATGGCCGACCTTGTGCCCGCATTTCAAAGTAAAAACTCTCTTTATTTTTTTCTTTTCAATACCATGACTTTACAAAAGCACAAAAAAAAAACAGAAGAAGAATAACTGCTGTGTTTCCTGACCAGGAGAATATCATGCGTGAAAGATAACATACAGTACTTATTTTTCGAAATCTAAGGATGAAAATTTGATTCATTTTCCTGGGGTTTTTGGATTCCGTCTGCGCATTTTTTATTTTCACTGCTCTGCTGAACTCACTTATATATTCAGTATATACCATATAGAGTATATTGGTGAATGAGTAAATAAAGAACACTGCTGCTGGCAGTTTTTGTATCAGTGTGCCCAAGAAGCCTGTGATGGTTATTACTGGATTACAGTGGGGCCTCGAGATACGGACATCATTTGTTCTTTGGACCTCGTAACTAAGTTGGAGCATCTGCAAGTTAGATAAAATTTTCCCATAGACTTCAGTAAGAACATATGCAATTGCTGGTACTCCATTTTGTCAAAAATTGTAAAAAGTCCAATAAACATTAAATGAAATAAATTTTCTCCACATGAAGATGCAGAAAATAACTTGGCAGAAGAAAACCCACAAAATTTGAGCTTTTGGCATAAGAACAAATCCAACAAGCAGAGGAAAAGCAGATTTATTCTTACATTTTGTGCACAGATCATGGAATAAAACCCTTCAATGAGAAGGGAAAAACAATATATAGTTGATTATGAATTAACCCTTGTGCAGCACAGTCGGGATAGTTTTTCAAAATTTAGTCCTCATGAGGACTGAAAGAAAAAGATTTTTGAACCAAGGCTTTAGCCGTGAAAAAGTCCAATACTTGTTTATAATCCTGCAGAAAATGTGTGCTAAAAAAACTCCTCCCTGGATGGCATTTTTTCATGGATTCCTAGTACAGTATAGGATAAACACTGGGGATTCCATCAGAAAATGGGATTTTCTGTACCCACATTTTTCCTGACTTAGTCTTTGGCAACCTGGGGGCAATTCAGTGACCTTCAGGCAACCTGAAATTCCCCTCCCCTCAATAAATCCCTGCTTTGCTGCAGGATGGCAAGGAACCCTCCTTCCTAGTGTAAATATTCATTCTAAGGTTTTTTTGGATTTTATGAACAAAAACAGCTGAAATTGTTCAAAAGATATTAAAAAATTCAAAAATTAAAATGTTGTCATTTTTTAAAAGAAGTTTGAAAATAAGTGTCTGAATCTTAAATTCTTGAGATGTTTACAGATTTTGAGACGCCTGTTGGAAGTTTCAAGTGTCCCAAAATTGAATTTTCCAGATAGTAAGGTGTCCGTATCTCAAGTTCCCTCTGCACTACTTTTATTATTACTTTTGGTGGTCAATGTTGCCTTACATACTTGCTACTTATATTCACAGTTTCACACCCATACTACTCAATAATTTTTTTCTTCTCAAGTACTTGTTTTCCGCATACATGTGAGAAAAATGTGTGTAAAAAATGAAGGGAAATGTTGGAGAGGGGAGGCTCAGCAGTGGATGCTGCCATCGCTGGGCTGCTCTGCAATGGCGTCGTCAATCCCCAAAGCATGGGCATTGGAGGTGGCTTCATCATGACCATCTATGACCAGGTGGGCAGGAATGGCACCACACTCATTGCCAGGGAAACAGCCCCAATGGCTGCCAATCCTCAGATGTTCCTCAATGACTCAGCTGCTGCCAGGACAGGTATGTGTGCATGTTCTGTGTGTGTGTGTGTGTGTGTTTACACCTTTATTTGGATTCACACTAGAGGTTTTTGGATAACAGCAAGCACAAAGAATCTTTTGAAGGTCAATACAGTACTGTAATTGTTAGCTGGATTGAATTTTTTGCACTCACAAAAAAGAGAAAAAGTTGATATAAAATGGGGCCATGGCATGCTGACATGATTCCCAGCAGTGCTTGGACCCTGCCCAGATGTTAGAGAGTCAATATGTTTGCAAAGCCGCATTTTGACATACACAATACATTAATTGGAACATATTAAATTGGTTCCACTGTTAGTCAAGAATGTGTAATAAAGTACACAAAAAATGAATAACATAGTTTCTCAACAAAAATAAGATACATGAAATAACAGCACAGAAGAAAAACACTCATCAGAATCTGATCTTTTGGCTTCTGAAGGAGTTCAAGAACTGTAAAAAAACAAACACGAGTCTAGCTACACTGTGCACTCATAATGTAAACATCATGGAAATAAGGGAGCACCAAATTAGCCTTTTTGGGTTCTAAATTATAGTAATTTGACAATGAAAGGAACCGTATTTGTAATATTTTTGAATAGAGGCATTACCTCACAATTTGTCATCCCACAATTAAACCATCCTGCAATTTCATGGGCAGTTTTGCTGGCATATTGACAACATTAAACTGGAGAACGGGACGTTACACTGGACGTGTCTCAGTCTTTACAACCTTTAACCAAGTATAGAACTCTTTAACAGACCTACATCCCTGTCTAAAAAAGAAAGTAAGAATCAAAGGGGTTGTCAAAGCATCTATATTTTGGGTTGTACATATCTTTGGGTCACCCCCCCCCCTTTGCATGTCTCCCAAGGTCAATGTTTGAGGGACCCATTGTTGGCTATAACTGGGATCAATATTGCGATTATATTTGATTCTTCCCTCACGCAATCAAAGCATTTAAATATTTATGAAAACTTCTTTTTAATATTTTGGACAAAGCAATCTCTTTAAAATGACATTCAAAGACTCATCCACCCACTATGCCCCTTATTACAAAGGATCATGAAAGCGTTGAATCAGAAGATTCCCAAATAAGTCCAGTGGAACAGTGTCCACTTAATAATGTAAGACAGATCTAAATAAAACTCTGAATTCAGCCCAAATCTGTCAGCTTTTTGCCTCAAGAAATTTGTAATTTGACCTCCTGCCCTGCAATGTGACCTGCACAGAGTTAGAAATATTGGAAATTTGTTCATATCTTGAGAAATTTTCTGGATGTAGGGACAGATTTTTTCTTTCATTCTTAGTTTCCCCAAATCAAAGCATCTATATTTTGGGTTGTACATATCTTTGGGTCACCCCCCCCCTTTGCATGTCTCCCAAGGTCAATGTTTGAGGGACCCATTGTTGGCTATAACTGGGATCAATATTGCGATTAAATTTGATTCTTCCCTCACTCAATCAACGCATTTAAATATTTATGAAAACTTCTTTTTAATATTTTAGACAAAGCAATCTCTTTAAAATGGCATTCAAAGACTCATCCACCCACTATCCCCCTTATTACAAAGGAGGTACTTTCGCAACTTAGTCTTCTAAGGGTTTATTCAGGTCACCTTGTCACAGGTGAATTATTACATTCTGTCTAGATTTATTTTGAGACTTAAGTCGGGTTTAGACAGTCGAAAAACGGAGTTCTTTATAGGAAAAATGCATGATAAAACTTTCCCCAAAATTCAAAACTCAACAATTTTGCATATACATCAATACTTTGGATGATGCAGGAATAGGATAGAATTAGAGCTAGTTGTGTCACTCAAACCATGCCTTATCAAATAACTGATGTTTAAAAAAATAAGTTTCTCAGTTTTCATGTCTTTCTCTGGTTCTTGTTATAAAATGGTAAAACCGAGAAGAAAAAAAGTTTCAAATTAAATGAATATCATTCGTTTGCAGGCGGAAAAGCCATGGGAATTCCAGGAGAAATTGCTGGCTATTGGGAAGCGCATTTAAAATTTGGAAAATTACCCTGGGCAGAATTATTCCAGCCAGCCATTGAACTGTGCATCAATGGATCCACTGTCCAGCCTCCACTTGCAAAATCCTTGCAATCGAAAAAGGAACAAATATTGGCAGAACCGACTCTGCGGTATGTTTGACTTACACAAACCATCTTGAAAAATCAAGTAAAGTTGCACTTCTTGATGTAAAATTCGAAGGGACCACCAAAAATTCGACTTGGGGAGGTTACCATTCTGAGAAACAAGCAATTCTTAAAGGGGAAAAGAAAGAAGAATTCACAAAATAAAAATTGGTGATATTCTGTTCCTTAAATTCTTGCTTCTTGAATAAATTGACAGGATGTTGGATTTGGAGGCAATGGGGTCAATTGTACAATTTAGTCTTCCACTTCATTTCAAATCACATCAAAATACATTTTTTACTTTCTTCACTCTTTCTGTGACTGTGAAATGATAGCCAAAAGGTCTCCAGAAAATGTGAGATATAATTATATAAGCTTGAGCAAAAGATCCTTTGAGCTAAAGTGGTTATTAAAGCATTGTGTCCAAGGAAATTCAGATGCAGGGACTTTTCTGAAAGAAACTCAACAAAGGGAAGTATTTGACTTGAAGAGTTTTGACTTTTGACTTATAATAGTGAGGTTCAACTTGACATTTATTCTTAAAATGTATCATTATACTCAGCCAAATTTATTTCAAGTATTTTTTAAATATGTTTTTGCCTGACAAAGAGACATATTCACTCAGCCAGGAGGCAAAGATGTCTTGAAGGAAGGCGATACCATGTACAGACAGCAGTTGGGCGAAACTCTGCAAAAAATCGCCGAAAATGGCGCAAATGTTTTCTACAACGGATCCGTTTCCAAGGACTTGCTGGCTGATTTATCGCAGCCAGATGGAATCAACTCTCCAATTACTGCCAAGGATCTCTCGTCATACAGGTACAGTATACACAGCATAAGTATAACACAGTCCATATTTCCATGTCAACTTGTTGGTCGATTCTCATTAAATCTATCAAATCCGAATGAAAATTAGGGCGGATTGGAGTCCAGGGTATGAATTGGAGATTGGCGGAAAAGGACGAGGCTCGAAAGTGCTTCACACCACGAATGTACCGTCTTCCGGACCCGTGCTTGGGTTCATTTTGAACGCCATGAAAGAGTTTTATCCAAATAAGAGTGAAATTCCATTTGGAAATTGGTCCAGGTCTGACCAGGGTTTATTCTTTCATCGGCTAACGGAGGTTTACAAACATGCTTATGGAAGGAGGAGTTTCCTGGGGGACCCCAAGTTTGTGTCTGACAATGTGGATCACAGACAGGTTGGGTTTTTCTTTCTTTCCTTTTTTTACATTTTTTGTTCATTTTGCATATTTTCCTCGTTTTCAAAAATCACCCAAAAAATCACACCTTTTTTGCATCCGTTCAGAGGAAAAGATGATTTTTTTCCTGTGGAAAACCTATATGGACTTGAGTTGGATAGAGGGTGAATCCCCTACCAAATAGGAGACATAAAATTGGTGGACTCTCTCTCTCTACAACACAATTCAAGCAGCCAGGAAAAAATTTGTCATAGAGATAATTTTGTTGCAGAGAACCACCATAATCTGGGGAGAGAACCCTATGCAGCCTATATGGGACTGAAATTAATTTGCTATACAGAGAGAATAATTGCACACAGAATCACCTTAAAGAGTCCACCAGCATTGCATATTTTCATGTCAACTGTTCTAATGTGTCCCAAAGCATGTAAAAAATACCCAGTTCTTGTGCATCCTGTGGACACAACTCACTGCTCTGGAGCTTGCCTCACTGATAACTCACCACACCCCTTATGACTTGCTGCTGTAATAACTTGATACTCTACTGACTCACTACTGCCATTGCTTGCTGCTGTGACAACCCCCCAGGCCGCCACTGCTACAATAACTTGCTGCCATAACTGCAGCAAGTGAAGTTGCTGTATTTTTTGCAATATTTGCTCGCAGAAATTGCAATTTTCCACTTGCCTCAATTATTCATATATATATTCACAGGCAAGCAAGAAGTAGTGTATATTACCAATGCCATCTGGGAGAGCCTGAGGAAATCACACAACCCCATACTCATGAGAGAGATTTATAGGCAGTCCAACTGAAATAAAACCTATACCCACAGTACATTCAAATGTAGGAATTCTTTGATTGGAACTTTTTTGACAAAAATACATGACACCCAGAAATTAGTGAGTAAAATTTAAAGCTCAAGATATTCAGCCTGTTAATAGATGATTATTGATTGATGAAGAAGTTAGAAATAATCTTTTGAGGAGAATTGTTGAAGAATTATCCCAACATACTGTTTAGAGACGGTGAAGGACAACCATATATCTGATGGAAATCACCTCACATGAGAAGACAGTGTTGGGGACAACAGGCAACCCAACATAAGAAAAAGGGAAAGAAGCTGTGGATCAAAAGAATTATAAATAGAAACACAGAATCAGCCTGGGACAAGGCTGGGTATTCCTGGTAGAATCCCAACTTTAACTTTAAACTATAATTCAATATATAGTCCCAACAACAGTAAAGATTTCAACAAGTCTCAAAGTATTTGATTAACAGCAAAAAACCTCTCAGCAAGCTTGAATTTACGACACTGTTTACCACACAACAGCTAAGCTCAGACTGATGGTAGAAATGGGAATAAAAGGGGTTTTTATTAATTGTTGGTGCTGGCCTTGATCCAGCTCTCTGGCTGAGGATCATGTGATTTTTAGAGGTCTGGGATTGGCCAGAAAAGTTGAAGTTGAAGACGACTCCGGGGGCAGGAAGCCTTGAAAGAAGGTTCTCGAATTTTCCAAGATTTTCTGGTGCTCTAAATTTGACCATTTCCTGAGCTTGTCCTTGGGTGTCCTTGGGTGCCCATTTACACCTGCCTCAATTGATGAGGTGCTCATTACACTAGCGGTAGCGGTTCCCCAACAGATACAGTATGTCCATCAGTCATCTTCAAAAAAGGAAGAAAAAATTATTTTTTCATGCATTATTCAAAACAAAAACTATGAAATTCATATGAAGGAAGTGGTTGAGGTGCGTTTAATATGGATAATATAGCTGAAATTTAAGAAGCTCTTCACTCAGGTTCGATTTTATGTCAATAATAGTGGAAAATCTTCAACCTGATGTATTTTTCTTTGATACAGTAAATTGCATATACTGTACTGTACAGTACTATTCTTACAGACTTTAAATTCATTGGGAGACCCGCGTTTCGCGAGATTCATCAAGTCCCAGATCAACGATTCGTCCACATACGAGGACCTGGCCTATTACGGGGCCAGGTCAGGTGCCACTGAGCCACGGGATTCAGGGACAGCTCACCTGAGTGTCGTTTCACCAGATGGCGTTGCAGTTGCTGTCACGAGCACCATAAACACTGCGTGCGTGAGGAAATTTGTAATTATGTCGACTGAATATTATATTTTCGCCTCGGATGAAAAGAAAAATTGCAGTATTCAAGAACGCTTTATTTTCGTTTATTTTCTGCAAATTCAGACTGAAGTTTTCTGTTTTTTTTGCTCATTTTCTACAGGTTTGGTGCCATGTTCAGATCAACTAGGACTGGTATCATAATGAACAACGAGATGGACGACTTTGCGAACCCGGGTCCGAATTCTTGGGGCCAGGAAGCCCTGGAAAATCAGCAGAACAATAATTTGCCAGAACCCGGGAAACGTCCCATGTCTTCCATGTGTCCGTCAGTGATTGTGGGCAGGGATTCGGGACAGATCCAGGCGGTGATTGGAGGTGCTGGTGGCACCAAGATCATCACTGCTGTCAGCCAGGTACCAACTGCTGCAACAGTACTGAAAGGCCTGTTTTTACTCGATTACTACGCGCCCTGTATATGGGGGTTTTCAGACGAAAATTTAAATGAAATTCTATCCCTCAACTGAAAATAGCAATCAAGTTTTATTGACTTTGAAACCAGAATACTGTACTTAAAAAAGAAGACCAATTAATTTGAATTTAGGCATGGATTTGACTAATATCCATTTATTTCCTCTAAAAGAAATCTTTCTTTCAAACCAACTGATCCAAAATTTCTCATTAGAATCAAATATAATACAGTACCAAGAAAAGTTTTAAAACTTCTTGAAAAAATGCATACCCATTTAAAATGTACACCCCATTTTTTCTTATAAAATTTTTCAATTGAATGATTTTCATGTGTTCCAGGTATTATTGCTCAGTGAAATTGGTGGCATGGATTTGCTAGCAGCAACAGAATTCCGTCGACTACACCATCAACTTCTTCCAAAGGAGATCATGTTTGAGTCTGACTTTCCCAGGGTATATTTTGCGCCTTGCAGATGAATTGATACAAAAAGTGACACCTTCCTCTCATCATTTAATCTTTTTGCAGGACATTTTGGAAGAGCTTGAAAGCAGAGGCCACACAACAAAGCAGTACAACTCCTTCCCTGGGTCAGTGGTGGTTTCTGTTCACAAGGATATCAATTCCACCTGGCTGGGAGTATTTGACCCAAGAAAACTGGGAGAGGTTGATGGGATAGACTGATGAATTTCAGTGCCTTTCTCCTGTGTCACATCATTTGCTTAGGATAAAATATGCCATGTGATTTTGAAGGTGTTGTATTGGTATTTGTATACAGTGCATGGAATACAGTAGGGCATTCTCAAGTATCATGTGTCAAAATCATGAACTATGCTCAGGATTCAGTTCACAAAGACAGCACAATCACTGCATTTGCATTGTTGTTTTTTATAGAAGTTCAAATACTCTAACACACACTGCATCAGCTACTGCAGTTGAAAGCTTCATTCAACAGCAATATATGTAATACATATGCAGTGATTGTCTTGTTTTTGTGAAATTGAGAAAAAGAAGGAGCAATTATACCTTGAATATGGACTACTGGTGGCTCTTGGGAATTCAACCCCAATCTGTTGCTGGACTAAGGTTGAATGGCAAAGTGATTGAATTGCAAGACAACGTCAAATGGCACATTTTCTACATGGCATTTGACATTTCACATCAATCTATGGCCAAATTGTGTGGCAGAGGTCAATTGAGAGTCCAACTTCCAGCAAATTTTATTGTCAAATTACAGGACAGTTTAATTGCAAGAGGTTCAATTGCAAGGTATCACCTGTGCAGGGTTGAGGAAAAAAGTGAACCGATTCTTAATGAACAATAGCTCATTAGCATATCAAGCTACAGCACCAATAAAAAAATGTGAGGGGTTTTTTGAATTCCCGTACAAACAATATTTGGTTTTCTGTAACAAAGAACAAAGTGCCATAGCATGTTGTCAAGAACCATTTCAATGAAAACTTTCAAAGCAGGGTTTCAGGCAACACCTTCCACTAAGCTGCTGCTCTCAAGAGCTGTTCTTGGAGATAATGAGGCGCAGGATCAGTTATTTAACTGGTAAACTTTATGCTGACTTTCAGACACACATTCTAAAATATTTAGGAGGTGGAGGTGAGTTGTCAAAAAAAAATTAGCACTGGAAATTTTCCACACTCTTGATTTTTGAATCCTGATGATGAAAAGTTGCTGGGTGCATGCAAGCCTCATGGCTCCTGTGGCCCCATGCATGAAATTTGTTTGGGGTGACAATTGACTCAAATTGGTTTCACTCAATAATCATGGGGGACAGGGGGATGTATGCTCATATTGCTCAACATTTTCATCAAGCAAACTTTCATCTGTAGAGTCTTCTTTTGTACTTTGAAAACTGTGTGTTTTTCCATGACTTCTGCCAGTGATGATCAGAAAATGAGACCTAATGGAAAACTGACCATGCAATCATAACAAAAGTGATGACTGTTGGCCATTGTGATTAATGAGTGAAACTGATTTCAAGCAATCCAGTCATCCAGAAAAAATTTGCTGATACAGCATCCTGCATTCATGCATTAGGATTCCAGATTATGACAACATCCCACTAATCCATTTCCTTCACTCCTCACACCCATCTCCTGAATTTTGGTAATGTGTGCACCCTGTTGAAGGCAGCATGACGTTTGCTGATCAAATTACTGGTTGTGTACCCATGTTATCACCAAAAACGCATCTGGAGAAAAGCAGCTTGGGAAGTACTTGTTGTACATAAGCCACTTGAGCTGGCAAACTTGCAATACACCAACCCAGCTTGAAGATGAATAAGGTTTGGTTTAGAGGACCAACCTTGTGTGATTTTTCTTTCATGAATCACAGAGATTGCAAAATTTATAGAAGCAGGTTATTCATTATATGGAGTCAGCATAGTGCCAGTGTATATACAGTGGTTGAATGGCAAAGTGATTGAATTGCAAGACAACGTCAAATGGCACATTTTCTACATGGCATTTGACATTTCACATCAATCTATGGCCAAATTGTGTGGCAGAGGTCAATTGAGAGTCCAACTTCCTGCAAATTTTATTGTCTAATTACAGGACAGTTTAATTGCAAGAGGTTCAATTCCAAGGTATCACCTGTGCAGGGTTGAGGAAAAAAGTGAACCGATTCTTAATGAACAATAGCTCATTAGCATATCAAGCTACAGCACCAATAACAAAATGTGAGGGGTTTTTTGAATTCCCGTACAAACAATATTTGGTTTTCTGTTACAAAGAACAAAGTGCCATAGCATGGCATCAAAAACCATTTGACTGAAAACTTTCAAAGCAGGTTTTCAGGCAACACCTTCCACTAAGCTGCTGCTTTCCAGAGCTGTTCTTGGAGATAATGAGGCGCAGGACCAGTTATTTAACTGGTAAACTTTATGCTGACTTTCAGACACACATTCTAAAATATTTAAGAGGTGGAGGTGAGTAGTCAAAAAAGAAATTAGCAGTGGGATTTTGCTACACTCTTGATTTTTGAATCTTGATGATGAAAAGTTGCTGGGTGCATGCAAGCCTCATGGCTCCTGTGGCCACATGCATGAAAGTTGTTTGGGGTGACAATTGACTCAAATTGGTTTCACTCAATAATCATGGGGGACAGGGGGATGTATGCTCATATTGCTCAACATTTTCATCAAGCAAATTTTCATCTGTAGAGTCTTCTTTTGTACTTTGAAAACTGTGTGTTTTTCCATGACTTCTGCCAGTGATGATCAGAAAATGAGACCTAATGGAAAACTGACCATGCAATCATGACAAAAGTGATGACTGGTGGCCATTGTGATTAATGAGTGAAACTGATTTCATGCAATCCAGTCATCCTGAACAAATTTGCTGATACAGCATCCTGCATTCATGCATGAGGATTCAAGAGTATGACAACATCCCACTAATCCATTTCCTTCAATCCTCACACCCATCTCCTGAATTTTGGTAATGTGTGCACCCTGTTGAAGGCAGCATGAAGTTTGCTGATCAAATTACTGGTTGTGTTCACAGTTTAGCACCAAAAACGCATCTGGAGAAAAGCAGCTTGTACATAAGCCACTTGAGCTGGCAAACTTGCAATACACCAACCCAGCTTGAAATACTTATTCCAAACCAAATCTCCTGGTTGGAACACACTAAAAAGAAAGTACTTAGTGTCTCTAACGTTTTAAATATCTTCGTCCAATAAGTAATATACCTCAGTCGTATCACGGTCACATATATGTCTATATAGATTGGAAGACTTTTTGAAATGACATCCAAGTTCAGACCAGTATTTGAGTGAGCTGGAACCAATAGAATTGCAATTTCATTCGAAATTATGAGTCATTCATATTGACTCCAAGAAAGAAGAACAGTAACAAACACAATGAGAACATTCATCTTCATTGGATCCTTTCTATGTGAATCACCACAAATTTTGTGGATTGAATGTCTCCCAATAGCCTGTTGGCATTTCCATTTGCTCAGGACTCATGACAGCTTTGTTAATGTCATTAACACTGATGACTTCATCATCACTTGAACCTTCACCCTCATCAGCATCGCTGTCATTGTCAACACCTTCTCTGGGTTCTGTGATGGGCTCCTGCTGCTGCTTGCAGCCATAGAAGGTGTTGAGTTTCTCCAAGTCTATCTTGCTGAAACCCCTCCGCTGGCCCACCATGCTTTCATCCACTTCTTGCCTGGGGATCAGAGTCCTCACCAGAGGGTCTTTGGCACTTGAATATAGGCTGTAGTGAAGGATGCTGTAGTAATCGTATGGCCCAGCATTTGTGTACCTGCCATTCAGCTTTCTGTAATTCAGTTCCATGCCTGTAACAGTCAATGATGCTTATTTGATCAAGATTTAGATAGCGCAAGTTTTAGCTTTTCATATCATGGCCTAATGAGTGAAGCTACAGTGCTTCTAATTGATTTTGAAGGTACAGTATGATGCTGAGGAAATAAGGCATTGACCAAAGATACACTTCAAGACTAAGGAAATTGTCATATTCAGGCCTCAAAAATAAAAAAACATCTTTAAATTGTTTCTCTTAAAAAGGTTTACAGTAATTTCCCTTTGCTGTAAACTGACATTTCCCATGATTTTTGTCTTCAAGAATTTTAATGGACACATGAAAATAAATGAGTTTTTTCATGATCTCAGGATTTCAGTGAGAAATAAATTTGGTAGTAACTGCATTAAGATGACAGTGGACAAAAATAACTATAACTGAGGTCAAATCTGTAACAGAAAAGTCAGAGAACCTTGGTTTAGGCAGATGTTATGTAACTTTCACATTTTCATTAATATCTTGAAAAATATTTGACTAAAATACTTGAAATATTGATAGTTCATAGAAAAATGTAGGGCCAGATAAGATGTGGGAGCAATTTTTATATGCAAAAATTACGCAATGTTATTCAAGAGCAAATAAAAAGCCTGCAACACAAACTTTAAAATTCTGCCAAAAAATAAATTTTAGAGTTAGAAAAATCTACCTAGTCTTAAAAGATGCAGATTGAATATACCAAAAGACACATATTTTTTCAAATTGTATAGCAGCAACACAGAGCCTTGAAAGAAAGAAAAAGTGAAAATTGTGAGCAGTGAGATCTATTTAGGTGCCCCAGAAACTGCTATTTTGAATGGATTTGCCCTCTGCCTGTAACAATTTTGAAAGATTTGCCAATAATTTTTCAATTTATGAAAATAATTTCTCAAAAGTGATTTGAATTGTGTTCTACACATATATGGCATACTTTCACAATCTTGACATTATGATTTTGACATTTTACAAAGCTCCAGTGAGACTTGAGGAATGTCAACCCAGCCATCACCAGGTTGACATTTTTGAGGGGATGGGTGTGCAGAATCCTCACTGGGAGCCTCAAGTGTATTTGAAGAGTAGTCCCAAGACAATGGTTGTGTTTCTGGTGTTAATTTTTAAAGTTGGTGTGCTTAACCTCAATTCTCCAAGTTGCATGTACATGTTTTCCCTTGGGGGATATTTGCATATGGTAATCTAGAATTGGCTGAAGCCTTTTAATTACATTTCAATTCTTTCTGCACTTGGTGCTGAACTGCTGAACAGTTCCTCTGGGGGAAAATAGGTCAAAGTGCATTCTTATTTCAATGTTTGTCCTGTTTAATTTCCAAGAACTTTAATTTTGCCTTTAGCAACTTTGAGGAACTAACTGAAACATTAAGTTGAGCCAGATAATTACAGAAAGGGTTACTGTTGCATTAAGCTTGAATTAGTGAAGAGTGTTGTTGATGGAATAGATTAAGACTCAAGAAAACAACCCAAGTTCTTGATCTGAGTGGTTGGTTCTCTTTTTGAAGGTAGGAGCATTAATTGTTTCAATCACTTGTGAGAGATTGTCTTGGAAAGTAGGACTTGAAGGTGACATTAAATCAAACATTGGCTGTTTGCTCTTGAGGCTTTGCCACTACATCTGAGTCATGGGAAAGTTTGTTAACATTGTCTGCAAGCTATAATTTGTCAAGCCATTTTGTGGCATCTCCAGTGGTAGTAAGCTGCAACCCATCTTGATCCTCAATAGCCTACTGGTTTGCACTTTCTGAGGTTTTGTGGTGTTTCACCATGAGCTAACAAGAATGCAACCTATTGTGGTTTGCTCTTTGTGGCTGAGTACAATGTTTGGGCTGGTTCTGTGCAAAACAACTAGAATATTGACCTAATGCTACTTAAGGCAGCTTAGTGTTTGCTGATTTCCAGGGAAGACAGATCCCTATTCAGATTACCATCTGACACCTCTTAACAGACAAGCTTGTGAATTTTCCAGGATTGGGACTGAAGAAGAACGACGAACGTCTTGAAGTGTTAGTAGTGAGGATTAACAATAAGGACATGTCGAATTTAGTTCTTGTCTTGACAATAGTTTAATTTAATTATATTTTTTGTTTGTGACATCGGCTCTCTGCAAATTCACTCAAAGTTAACTTTGAACTTAAGAGGGCCTCAGTCCTTTATATCTTTGAAACCAACTTTAAAGTCTTGGAGCTGATACAGGCTGGTGTTTAAATAATCTTGAAAAATTCAGTTACTTAACCCTTGGACGGCGGAGGGTTCTTTCCCATAGCAGGAAAAAATTGGATTATTTTTGTATGCTCCCTCATTTTAAGTTTTTCAAAGGTCAGGAAAACCCTTCCAGGTGGGCTGAGGCAAAGTCGGGATTAATCCAAGAAAAGCCGGTAGCATCCCTGATCATTTTTTTTATTTTCCAGAAAAATGTTCTGCCCCCAGGGAAAAAAATGTTGGGATTTTTCCTGACTTTGCCCTTCACCACCTGTTTTCATTTTTTTCTTGACCTCTCTGAGGTGCAACAAAATTTTGTGAAAATAGTCTGACTTTGCTGCCCAAGGGTTAAAATTAGTACAATGTACCCACTTTCTGAGGAACCCAGAGGATTCCTTGCTGTACAGTTATGTCTGTTCTTAATCTGAACGTGAAAACAAGTACGGAACGTCATATCAAATATTTAACCTCCCTCCAAAAAATACCTTTACACGACAAACTTTAAAAGTATCATTTATGACTATTTGAACTTACCATTCGTGATGTTTTATTGAACTTTAAATTATCATGCTGCATTGAAATGGTTTTGAGTTTGAACCAGTATCCTGCTTTTACTGATGATCAGAAAATGGGACCTAGCTGAAGATTGATAGATGATGACAAGAATGATGGCTGGCCCTTGTGATTTATTATTGCTATACTGGTTGCAGGAAAGATTATAGTCAATGGGCTGCTTTTGTGAGCCAAACTAACCTCTTTCCATGTTTTTCCAGTTGACAGTGATATACTTGTCACGATCTCCTCGATTTTGCTCATGTGGGAAACCCAAGACATGCATGAACTCGTGCAACAGTCTGCCAGGCACAAAACAGCGCGAGGACCCCAGGACCAAGGTGTGCACCTTATTCTTGGCATAACCCAGTTCCGACCCGCAAACACCAGATTCCCTGGAGCAACCGTCAAAGGAACAGGTGTGGAAATGAGTGATACAGAATATTAATCTAGTTGCAAAAAAACGTACATGGGTAGTACATGAAAATTATGTTGCGCTGCATAATTTGTTATGATAAGATTGTCGAAATAGATGGATGGAAATATTTCTCACATCAGCCCAGTGTGTATTAAATCATATCTTGATTTTCTGGCATTTTCAGATTTTTAGTACAGTGGCCCCCGCCTAACATACATTCCGCCATACCCTAAAAAACGGTTTGTCTGGTGGAGACCTCCACCAAAAGGGAGAGTGGGCTGCCTGACTTAGGCGGATCGTCTAAATCCACCTAGGTTAGACGTATACTTAAATAGGTTTAACTTAAAGAGGAGTTTGTAAATCCCCTTTGATAGAATCTCTCTGAAGGAATGGGATAGTTTTGCTGCTTTAAATGATCACATATGGTTCATGTAATTAACGATCAGTGTCAGTATTTTATATTTCTTGAATTACTATTTCAAACTGCATAAGTTTTATTGAAAATTCAGGAGAAAAGATGGATTTGAGAATAAACCTGGAGATCGGTAAAAATTACAATATATTTTTCTTATTATGGTTAAATTGGCATAGATTGTAAATTCACTGATCCAAAATTCACATTAAAAACCATGTTTTTTTAATGTTAGTTTATGATTTTCTACAGAATATTTAAAAGCTACAGGGCTGAGTCAAAATAAATGGACTAATGTTTGAATCTTGACTACCTTGAACAAAAGATCCCAATCTTTCCTATTGTTACCGTTTCCAGCTTAATAGTGTAGAACCACAAATTTTTTAATTAATTTTTCCATTACATTATTTTTTTGCTGGTGTTTAGAAGACCCAAACATTTGAGCACAATCGCTCTCCTGATGGAATTTTTCTTATTTTTGAAACTGGTGGTACTATTCCTTGACTCTTGGCCAACTTTTTAATTGAGATCCAAATCTTTTATGTTTGTAATCTTCAGGGCAATAAAGTTGAACCATCTATCTTTCATTTTCATTTCTTTTAAATTTCAATCTCATTCCTTTTCTGCTGACAGAAATTATTCTCTGATTTTCTAAACTAGTGAACCTCAAGAATGGCTGTGTTTCTTTCCTAATTTTCCTATTACATTTTCAAGCTAAAAGCAAATTAAAATCTTCAACATATGAACCTATGGGGAAATTGAACTTGGGGAACAGGCTTTTCATGTAAAGGACGAATTTGTATTAAAAATTAAGTCCATTAAAAGGGGGGGGGGGCACTGCATTACTTAAAAAACTAAAAAAACCTTCAGGAAAAAATTTGCTCCAGGGATACATCCCCACGGATACTTTACTGTATTGTTTGCAACATATTGTAAATATTTGATGAAGGAAGGCGGTTCCAAAAAAAATCCAGCTTATAACCAGAACACCAATCACAGTTAACACATTCACCCTCAAAACAATTTTTCATTGATTTTGACATGAATCTTTTACTAGAGAAAACCATTTGACAAAAAGTGGGGTAACGAAACGACCTACTACACAACTTGGTGAAGTTTCGTACAACCAGTAACTTATGAAGGTAACTTCTATGTTCTTGGTCAGTCAGTGTAGTTGTTTCATTGTAATGAGCGACTGTTTTCCTTAGTTATATGCAATTTCTAACTGGAAAATTCAATGAGCCTTTCTCAACATCTGTAATACTGGAATTGGGTCATTTTTAATAACAAGATTATTTTGACATGTACTTTACTGTATGGGCTATTTGTCAGGACTTGAGAAAAAGTTTGTTATACAGTACTGGAAAATGTGTTGTAGGGGTATTTTATGTAACAAGATTTTACTGTAATTTTTTTCTCTGTGACTCACCCTGGAAGCCGTTTGAATATTTTAACATGACCGGGCTCACTTCTCCTTGGCCGGAATTTAATGCATGTTCCTGCTTCTATCAGGTCCATGGCTGCCTTTATGACGCGTTTCTCCAAATCAGCTGAAATCGGGGGAATACAGGGTGTTCTCCAGGAAATACTGGTTATGTTTTCTATGGATTCATTGACTCACTGAAATCCGGATGGATTTGATAAGGAACAATTTTGTTTGGCCAGATTGGACCATTGGGCAGCAGGTGAATGTTTGCAGCATCCTGAGAAAAAAGTCAGGAGAGATGAAGGATTACGTAAAAGACGGATGACTTTTTTCACATACTCTTGTCATATTTCGAATGAGGAACTCGTATAGGTTTTTTCCACTTCTGTTCTTCGTTTCGTTAACAGTTTCCTTAGGAAAACAAGTACCACACCATTTTTCTATGGTACTTGTTCCTCGAATTTCTTCAATAAAAACCAGAACCAATATCTAATTATTTTGTATTGTTTTTTTTTTTTACACAGAAATGCTATGATTCTGACTGCAATTCATTCCAATTAGACACATTGCCTTTGTTTTTTCCATTGAAATGAGCATTTTTTATTTTTTAAGTTTCTGATAGAAATGCTTAAGGTACTGAGCTTGACAATCAGGGCCAGAAAATAGGAACATTTTGGGGCTGAATATTTTCAAGTTAAATTAAAGCCTCAAAAATACGAGGCATATCTGAAACTTGTGTGTTTGAGCTTAAGCATTTTGGTAAACAGAACTCACTATTTAAGACAAGGCTCAGTAATAATAATTAATTTTCGGGAGGTATCTGTGATTTTCTCTTTGATGCTTGGGAAATAATGAAAATCCTGCAGCAGAATTCAACTTCCGAAAGGAACGAGTTCACTCTCACAATAATGAATCTTTATCCCAGATATCACGAAAGAACGGGAAAATCAAAACTGAAGACAAAATGGGATCAGAATTCCAGTTTTTATTCACACGCAAATTTGTTACAGCTGTCAGGACGATTTGACAGAGGGCATCGATGATCTCTAAGCAAATATGCAGCGCTAATCAATTTTTGAATCGTTTTTTTATTCAGATAATCGCATCGATTTTTTCAGAGTATACTCAAACAATATGATGGAAGTCATCGAATATGATTTGGTTGTTAATCGATGATCTGATTATTAATCTACACAGCTGTTGATATTGCTATTGCACAGGAGGCAGGAGCTGAATTGATAGAACTGAGAAGTATTTTAGATTGAAACTCTGCATTCCCTCTGCTTCATGAATTTTCATCTTTGGCTTATGAACTGAAACGTTTATGCATGGCACCATGAGAAAGAAGTGAGAGGGAGAGAATACGCAATGAAAATGCCTTGTGACTTTAAAGAGAGTATGGCAGCTGGAGCATACCTGAAAAGGTAGAATGAGGATTGAGTACCAATAATCACTGCGTCATCATATTATCAGAGTTCTGAAACAAATAAAGAATACGCATTGCATTGTTGCTTTGCACCATGTGCGTGAAAGGATGGGTGTCACTGTCATTGTCTTGTTTTTTCCTCTGGCAACTGGTCATTCCCCTTTTTACCTTGTTTGTCCTAGTTTATGCTGTTGCGCAGTCCTCCACCTTTCCCAAGAGTAGACTGAATCTATGAAGACCCTCTCGTCTAGGTACTTGGTATTTATTGCTGCAGTAAGCTTTGTCTTGCTCACTTGCGCAATACTCACTGAAATATAAGTCTTGTCAACTTATTACAACCTCAGGTATAAGAACACAACTTCTTTTGGAAATCATTGTCCCAGTTTAAAGATGCAGGATCACCAAATCAAA